TTGTACTGTGGTACAGTTATGGAGGCCCTTCATAATGCAGAGGTCTACTGTCTGCTCTGCCAATAGTTAGAAATGGCACTATAGTAAGCAGCGTTTAATAAACAGCTGTTTTTCTAAATTCTGCTGAGGTGAAATTCAGTGCAGTCATGTATCGTGATACGTATCATATCATCTGTATCGTGATACGTATCGTATCGTGACTTTGCTGGTGATACACAGCCCTAATAAATTCATATTAAAATTAAGTGATTTTAGTGTTTTTTCATCTAGATGAATTGGCCGTAGCCTTAAAATCATGTGGTGCGACCTAGGGCTGTGTATCTCCAGCAAAGTCACGATACGATACGTAGTCACACGACTTGTCACCAGATTTTGTCATGCAATTAATAGTTTGTTCTCGAAATTGTAAGTGATCAAGACATTTCTCCGGAGCACAATGTTACAAGAAAGAAGACTGTCCAGTTTAGCTCTTCTAAGTATTGAGAATGCACGTGCTCGCAACATCGACATTAAAGCTGCAGTCAAAGACACCAAAACGCTCAGAGCGCAAAGGATTCGGTAGAGTTTTTGCTTGTTTGTGGTTGTCAGTTAATAAAAAGAATAAATAAGTTAATTGCAAAAGTTGGTATATGTATAGAAAGTAAATTTTTCTCAAAATGTTGCATATAGTTATTCCTTTAATTTGTTTTTCTCCTAGTTTTTTTTTCTTACTGAAAGAAATTTTGCTTGTATAATTTTTTTAAACAGTTAGCGAGTCTTATGTAGGACAGTGTTTGAACTGAAACGTGCTGGGCTACGTTTCTCGTTAACGATTGATCTTAGAGCTTAAGAGCATTTTCTACGAGTCATTTTAAGATCGTTCGTATTGTTTTACGTGCGTTTCCCAAAAATGCACTTAACCCAATCGCACGTAGCCGTGCTTTAAGTGCTAATTAGGAGTCGCTATCCGTTGGTCAAGTGCTGAAATGTCACCTTATAGAATGGCTCGTAATTGTAGTACACGCTCGTTTATTGAAATGTTAACCTAACGCTGCGTTCCAGACAACTCGGATATAATAACAATATTATACATATATATATATATATAGTATAGTATATAATATCTATACAGAGACGTTATTTCCGGGTCCAATACATTGCTGGTTTTAGTGCAAGTGAGCAAGTCATTGACAAATTTTTTTCCCCCCCAGTCTTCGAAGCATATTTCCTACCATTATTTCTTTTTTTTTTTCAGTCATTTGTGTATGTGTATTTCTATTTTTCTGCCCTTTTTAATGACTTCATTTATAAATTCATATAAAAATTTTTTTTTAAAAACGGAGTAATAAAGTGTACAATAAAGTACAATCATATCCTTATGGTGCGTTCAAGTCATGTCGGATAGATCGTATTTACGAGTTGAACGCACATGAACGCCACCACAAAGTCGTTATTACGAGTGGGAAAATCTAAATTTTCTTTAAGCCCCGAGTTTCCGGCGTGTCAATGAGAAACATGGCGGAATCGATGGATGCAACGTCTGTAGTTGACGGTAAATTTTTGTTTAAATTGATAGTTTAGTGGGTTGTCAGTGACAAGTACTGTAGAACTGCATGTCTGACAGAGGGTCCTATAAAGATTGCCAAAGTAAAACATAAATCACAATACTTATAGGTATTAAGCAGTGACAATGTCAGGCTTTTTATTTACAAAAAATAAGCTTTTTGAATGTGGCAGGATTGTAATATAACAATTAATAACAAGTTTTTATTCGATACAGATTAAAGTGGCTTCATAAATTACTTTTTAAAAATATATAACAAAATATATAACAAAACACACCTGATGCGAATTCTTTGCTCTTCATTTTCTATAAGCAGTGTTAACAGACCCTGTTGTATTTTCTTGTAATTTATTAAAAGAAGGTACACCGCCATCTTGTGCCGACTAAACTGACTTGAACGCACCTGACGTCGTAATTACGACTTGTCAACACGTAAGTACAAACGTCCCAGGAGGACTTGAACGCAGCATAAGACCAGTCTAACCACTGGCACATTTTGGGAGACTGATGAAATGATAATTTGGGAAACAGACCGTAATATTAAGATCAGTCATACGATCATTTTTACGAACTTCTTAGGCTTACGAATCTTCTGGGAAACGCAGCCCAGGCCATTAGCCTACATGAAATGCAATGATACTTCACCACATTCATTACTGATAAATCAGCAGTGGCGGCTCGTCGGGTCGTTTTCTTTACGTTTTCTGATTAAAAGCAACCAAAAAGCCATTTTAAAGTGGTTAAGCAAATAATAATAATAATCGGCAGGGATCCCAGACCAATACAATTAGTGTGCCTCCTCTATTTAAAACCCCACGAGCCGCCACTGTAAATCAGTTATGTAAATGGGAGAGACGGACTCAGTAGTATAATTGCAGCTGGTGCACAACAAGTTTTCGTATACATGACATCACTGCTGGTGGGAAGGGCCCCATCTTGTTCTTTGCGTGGGGGCCTCTACGATGTGCGGTACGCCACTGTGCAAACATGTTGGAGATTAGCTGATAGGCTAATTCATTAAATAAGCCGTTTCCTCTAAAAAGCGGTTTATTCAGCGTAGTGAAGCCTATCCTACATTGACATCCATTCAAAAAATAAAAACGGCCTCTGGTCTCCTTTCCCATGTACTGGCAAACCAGAAGCGTTAGCCGTTACGCTTTTTTTGGCTAAAGGTTGCAGGCTTGCCTTCTAGTGGCTTTGCTTCCAGCCGTCAGGCTCCCGACAATTTCACTGACGGACTCGAGCTCGTTTCTGTTTCTAGAGCCGAGAAAATGGAGGCCCTTCAGCGGTGTAAACGTGGCGAGAGTATCAGACTCACATTTCTGCAACAATTACCTCCTTAAACCAACAACATCTCCCGCCGAATACTGTTCAGTATCACCGCATGATCAAATAAACACTCACACTCGTTTCAAAACAGACCTTTCAGTTTAAGTCTATTGTTCTATACGACAAACCAACGTTTAGCTCTCAAACCTAACACTAGCCCAAATGTTGCAGCTGTAAACTAACCAGATTATTCTCATTATGGACTGATTTATAATGGCGCTGACGCTGAACGTACCTTTTCTCGTGTCGCGCAATATTATTGTATCGCGTGCAGATGAATGAACTCACCCGTTTTTCATATCCACCTCCAGCAGCTTCCCGTAGCCACCGAAAAACCTCTGGATGTCTTTCTCGCGGACATGATAGCTCAGCCGGCCGATATAAACTCGAGGCATGTTGATTTGGTTTGTACTCAGCAGCCGTAACGCCGATTATCTCCAGAACGTGAAAACAGCCGCAACAGGTTTTTATCCTCTTGTCAACCGGAAGCACTTCGACCGAGACCGCACCTTCTAAAATAAGAGTCCTTTCCATTTAAAAATACTGTGCCAAAAAGGTCTTTGCACAAAGTCACTTCAAAACTTTTTATATAGTCTCCGCGATGAAACCGCGTGTTGATAAGAATTTTAAAATTAATAAATAAATAAATAAAATGCAATATCGAATATATCTATTTCTGCTATATTTGTACGTGTCCATTTTAAACGTTATCTAAGATAAACACTTAAAAACGTATTCTTACTTAAAAACTTTAATTTTATTACAATTTTTACATTTTATTCCCAAACATGGAGGGGTTTAGGGATTCAGGGGGCCTCCAACATAACTTTAGAGCCTCTAAATGTTTAGAACCGGCCCCGAATGTGAATAATTACACGTGAAGCGTTTGCATTAAAGCATAGTTGGATATTTTGGATTAACTTCAGTGTAATCCCCACTTCACTGGAAGGCTGTTATTTGTGAATTTGTGAACGATTCTGTCCCGCACGCACATAAGACATTTTCAAACCAAACGAATATCAAAACACTAAATGCTATTGTGTAAGTTAATAAACACAAATGTAAGTCTTGGTGGAATGGATTCACTGATATGCTTATTGAAGACTGTTGGACCAGTTCAAGCTCAGGATAGTTCTGTCTGGAGAGGCCCAGTCAGCTGCACCTCCATCCTTCCTGACTGAAGAAATAAGCCATGTTGCGATCGTCCCCACTCTCCCCTATTCTTCAGGAAATCTATATTTTTTACCCAGCCCTAGTTCTGAGTATTAGTTCAAAATAGCAGCGTAAGCTTCCAGCCTTACATACATTGCTAGATGCATGACTAATCATGCACATATAAAAATACCATAGTATTACTAAATTACATCATTGTTGTACCATAGTACTGCCACGGTAGGCTACTTTTTGACAGGTATTTATGAGCAATATCACCCGCTACAGCTGTGTCATGTGAATAAGTCTGTCTTTCAGAGGCCAAAGGTCACACAATGTGTAAAACAATCTAAATGAGGTTCTGCTGAAATAATCTGTTTAGGTTCCGTCCACTTGCTAGATCAATTAGGAGGTAAATGTTAGCTTGTAACAGTATGTTCAGATTAGAGATAAGAAACATAACAACCAGTGAAATCATCTGTAGCGCACAGTTACATTAATTCTACACAATAGTAGTAATAGTAGAAGATGGTGACATATAGCATGCCCATCCCCTCTAAATAAGGACTTCAATGATTGTCTGTTTCATAAAGCATGTGAACTGCGCTAACAAACATGTAAAAAAAACACAATTTTGTTTCAAGCATATATATATATATATATATATATACACACACATGCTTGATCAGGCATTATCAGCAATTATCAAATGAAATCCTTTAAAACCAAATATATGATCTTAACTAGAGGTTCTGTATATATATATATATATATATATCCTATTACTGCATAAAGGGAGCTGAAGGAAGGTTACCTGAAAAACGATCATCTGCACGGAGATCATGAGATTTACACTGCCTTTGATCCCGATCCCAAACATACTGTACTTCAATTCATTACTTCAAATGCAATGTAATGTTAGGACAGTCTGATTTCTGCCATACTGACTCATATTAACATGCCCAAACTTTTCCACATTCCACCTTTATTAAATCTGTTCAAACCTGCAAACAAACAGTGTTTGTGCATTAATTTCAGAAGCATGTGAATGTTTCTTCACTGCAGAGCTTGTGTTAGCCAAAAAAGAAGCAAAACATGCAATAAATACACACTCCTCCGTCATTATGCCACATCAGCTCATATGAAAACATTTAATTTCTATTACAAATGTGCGCCAGAAGAACGATGATCGTTTCGCCACAGGGGAAGAATAAGGTTTGATCAAATCTACAATATTTCAAAGTGCTTTCAGTGACTCTGTCTGTAGAAATCTATTCAAAACATACACTTTTATGCTAATTCATTCTGAATAAAAAAAAATAGACAAAATGTCAATGGAAGCTGCATACAGATTGGGAATGAGTCTTATACAGACAGTCTTACACTAGCAAGTCATACTCTCTGGTGATGTGACAAACATGTGCGTCTGGAACTTCGTCATACTTTGGTATTTAAAAGATATTTCCGCTTTGGCACTTGGCTGTCAAACCAAGACCAAAACAAACACAAAACAACTCAAGAAGAAAGAGTGGCTGCATGTAGAGGACACCGAGGTGCTTCATGCTCAATCTTTCAGCTTACTCTCCAAGAAATCCTGGATTTTGTTGATCTTCTCTTCTTGTTGATCCAGGAGATCCAGTATGACTCCCATGGGCGTCTTCTTCAGGCCAACGCCCTCGATCTTGTTCTCCAACTTGTTCTTCATGCTGCGAAGTCTCAGAGAAGCGTGGATGAGGATCACTGCAGGGCGAAACACAAGACTTCAGCAACAAAAACGCTCTTGATGAACCCAAACAGGACACATACGACACACATATGAGACTGTAAACTCAAAAAGCTGACAGAGAAGACCATCTACTCAGTATTTAAAGCTCACTTTCTCTATTAGCTTTTCCACTGAACATGCATCTTTCCCATTAAACCCAGGGTACAGCTTTGGCCCAATGGATGCAGTGCAATCTTTCCTTATTACAGTATAATACTTTATTCAAATGTCCTTTTACACAAATTTATATACATAAAAATATACATGAGTCAGTTGGTACTACATTACTATAATATTGAAGGTTAAAACTGACTATACAGCTGTTTAAATTACACTTAATTAAGTTTTTATAATAAAATAAGTTACAATTACATAATAATATTTCTACTTCAATTCATTGAAGAACATTGAAGAACAGTAAAAATTATAATGAATATGTTATATGGTGCATATATTTAGCAAAATGCCCCTCTCTACAGTTTATTTTTCTGGCTGACTAATGAGTTTATGGTCACCGAATATGTTTTTCTGAGGTAAATGTGACGTTACGTGACACATTGTTTACAAGCCGTTATATTGACGTCTTTGCGCAGCTGAAACACTGATTGAGCGATTACATGAGACAGGATACGGCTTGTAAAGTTGTACTCTTTCTTTTAACTTACCTTCGGATGTTTAGTCATGTTTATTTTTGTGCTGAAACTGGTATCAATGTGGAGGAGATGATCAGTTCACGAGCGCCTTGCGCTGCCGCTTTTATTGAACCGAGGCGCGCCGCGCTACAGCGATCACTCCAGTCCACATTAAACATTGCCAAAATGGCATTCATGAACATAATTTGAAATCTGAGACTTTGTTTCATATTAAAAGTAGCAAAGCACAAAGCTTGTTGTGATTAATTGGATGGGAAGTGCCCTTCAATGTTCCATCCACTAACTGAAAACAGGCCAGACTAATCGATCTTGGGATTTAAGAATCAATATCGTTTCGTAAAAATGAAAATCGATTAAAATAAAGAAATGTATATTTTTTTACCCAGCCCTAATAAATACACATGTAGTGATAAAATGGAAACTGCTTAATTTGACACGTTAAATAAATAAATACAATTTTAATATTTAAATCACAGACATCAAACAATTCAAATTTTCTAATATTTATTTATTTAGTCTTTAGAGTGCACAGAATATAAAGTTATTTTAAAATCCCATAACAATTGTAGTACTAGGGCAGACTGCTGTGAAAGGCTCATGTACTGATTTTAGGCAGAGACGCTGCCATGAATCTGCAAGCGCTAAAACAGAATATAGTGTAATTAGATGATGATGTTTTGTGTTGCCATAACTTCAAGCAAAACACACTGCTAGCTCTCTGCTTGTTTTCCACAGTACCCTGAAATACTCATGCAGTCTGACTCTATTCTGAGTGAATAATAAGCGTGTTATAATCATCAGAGAACTGAGGAAAGATCTGTGGTTATGAATGTCTCTGTGACTCCACTGATATACTGTAGTAGCTCAGATCCTCCAACATTAACGGGTTACTTTACACAAAAAAATACACAATTCTCTCCTCGTTTACTCACCTTCATGTCATTCCAAAAAGGAAAAAAAAGGCTCTGTGTATTTTGTATGTCCATACAATCAACTGTCCAATGTTGAAAATATCTTCTTTACTGGTATAGAATGACATGAGAGTAAGTAAATATTAAAAAATATTTTAAAAATTCTATTACACCTTTTATCAATATTTTGAATTAGCTTTTATTTTTATATTTTTTTATTTTTAATTTTTAGTTTAATTGTAGTAATTCTGTTATGTGCTTATGCCATTTTTATTATTTTTTGTTCTTTTTAGGGTTATTTAGGTTTAATTATTTCAGTTTTATACTAATTTTAGTACTTATTTCATGTAGTTGGTCATCTAATTTTTATTTTTATTTTATTGTATTTAATTCTTTTTAATTAACAAAAAATATTTCAATAATTTAATAATTTGGGGGGGGGGTGAAAAACTGAAACCATTGAGGATGTTATATTCTCTTTTTTTCATAGGATAATTGAGAGTTAAAGGATTTTTACACTGAAAGTAATAAAAGGCACATGTGTCAAACATGATGCACATTAAAATGAGATGTCATCAGTTATTACTGATGTACAAAAGAGCTGAATTATCATACATAAATACTTTCACTTCCTCTAAGTAACCTCCAATACTTTAGTTTGCACAATAAAGTAATCCAGCATGCTTAACAATAAAGGTGCCTTATTGGTATTAATGGTTCACTGAAAAAACTTGAACAATCATTGAAGCTTTCCACGGCATAAAAGGTTCTTTATAGTTTTTACACTAAGAAAAGTGGTTCGTTTAAAGAGCTGTTCACTGAAAGTTTTTTTTTTTTTTTGTGGAGCTTCTATGGCATCTCTGTGAAAATCTCCTTTTGAAGCCTTTATTCCTAAGAGTGTGGGTGACAAATATGCTTCTGAACAGTATTCCTACAATTGCATGTGTGCCCAAATATTGTGTTTGTTTTGGGGTGATGCTGCATCCACACCAGTAAGTGTCAGTATAAAGTCCAGGAAAACATGTTAAAAATGACACGGTGCACCTGTAATAAGGCAGGTGCGAGTCCAGAAGATCTGACACTGGTACTCACAGAGCATGGGGAGTGTGATACCGAAGAGAAACACCATCACTCCTCCACACAAGGACAGCAGGAGGTAGCTGATTCCCAGGACACCCACGACAAACAGGGTGGGATTTCTCTTCTTGAAGTTCTTGATCACAGCTTTATTCTCTCCTGCCCACACCGAGCCCATGAAGACCAGAGCCACGACCGCCCCACCAACAAACATGCCCAGGGGGTTCAGAAAACTGCAAAAACCACACCAGACATTTATGTGACATCACTATGAGTATTATTATAACATCGCGCTGAGAAAACAAAGCAGTGCTGCATCAAACGGGCGATCGGGAATGACATCCGCATATTGATGCGGGATTCACTCTCGAAATAGCAATGATTGGCACTGAACATAAAATATATGTGAAAGCAGCCTCAGTAATTTAATTCTGGAACCGGTCCTGGCCAAACCTCCACAGACAGCGCGCGTCCCGAGCGATATCTAATTCAAGGACCAAAAGTGTGTCTAAATTTACTGAGACCGGGACATGTCAACCAGTAATTTAATTTAATTTCCAGTAACGGACGGTAGAAAGTTCGGCGATGAATGGTATGCGACTTGTGTTATGACAGAATATAGTCCCACAACTAATCGTTTATTTTTTCCTCGCCGTGTCTCGTCTTTGGTAACAACGATCATCTGTGATAGAGTATGCAAACACCGCGCGAGCGTCACTAACGGAAGCAGAAAGATTGTTTTTTTTAATTGCAAAAAACATATACAATAAGGCAATACAAGATCGTAAGAAGATCCTCAAGAACAGAGCACCAATCCAAATGAAAGAAAAAAAAAACATGAAGAGAGAAAAGAAAGAAAGAAAAATAATTACACAATAGGGTCTTCTAATAATTTAAATTTCTGCAATAAACCAGACAGTCTTCTTCCAGATTTACATTTTAACAGTCTTACAGATTTACAGTACATCCAAAATTCCTTTTGAAAAACAAAAAACAATGGCTTTGTTTTAAGGCACTTACATTTATGAATATAAAATTTACCCAAAATGAAAATATTATTCAGTACAACTTGAGTATGTAGATCTTCCATTATTAGACCAAAAATTATATCATTTTTAGAAAATTGAGAAGACAGCTTCATTGAAACTTTAAGCCACTCAAAGGTTTCAGACCAAAAGGCTCTACTGAATGAACAGTCAAAGAATAAATGTACAGTCGTTTCAATATCAACATCACAAAAGGTACAATTATTGTGATCAATATTAAATCTATATCTAAGAAACTCTAAAGATGGGTAGATATCATTAAACATTTTAAAATGTACTTCCTTGGCTTTGGGGGGTATGGGAAAGGAGAGACACATGGTTCTTAATTTAAAAATAGAGCTCTTGGGAAAAAGATAATTCATGTTATTTCGAACTAGCTTGATTTGGAAATTTATCTTGGGTCAATAAAGTCCTTATTCATTTATTTGGCAGGCTACTCCTAATAAAATCTTGCCCATTTATTATCAAAGAAGGTAAATGAAGAGCTTCAGTTACATTGGGCACCGTATTTCTAACCAACAGTACAAAGGCCTTTGGAATACAGTTCATTACCTTATTATATTGCTTGTAATCACAATGGACATTATATTTTTCATAAAAAGTACTGTGATCCATAAAATAACCATCTTTCCCTAGCAGGTGAACAACAGACCAGACACCTCTCTTCCACCAATTTCTGATAAAGAGTGATTTATTTCTAAATAAAATTTACCTATTCTATTAGATATATTAAGTGATTCACTTAGTTCTTTATCTTTAGTAAGTAGAATACCAAGATATTTGATCCTAGATTTAACTGGTACATTGCAAGTTTGTGTGAGCTGAGATTCTTTCAATGTCATTATTTCACATTTACTTAAATTAAGACATAAGCCCCGAGGCATTAGAAAAGTTATAATTTGGAGAGTTTTTGGAACCTGATCAGTATTCTTTAGAAATAAGACTGTGTCATCAGCCAATTGACTGATCACTATGGAATCATCAAAACCTTTAATTGCTCAATGTCAGAATTTTTAATTGCAAGAGCAAGCATTTCAGCGGCCAAAATAAAAAGTAAAGGCGAAATGGGACAACCTTGTTTAATACCTCGGTTTATATTAAAGCGTGAAGTGGTCCCTTCAATCAATGAAACAGAACAATTTGTATCCTGACATAAACTACCAATTACCCAGACAGCAGAGAGTTTCGGCCCAGATCCGGCCCACATCTGGCCCGCATGGATTTCACATGGGCCAGATGTGGGCCGGATCTGGGCCAACACTATGTTGCTGTCTGGGTATACTTCTAAACTGTTTCCCAAACCCATACAATTCTAAAGCCGCAAAGATAAAGGGGTGACGCTTTGTAGAAATCAAGAAAAAACTAAATACCATCGTCGTTAATCTTGTCTTTATAATCAATCAGATCTTAAACCAAACGTAAGTTATTGTGAGTCGATCTACCCCTCATAAACCCTGACTGCGTATTGCTTATAATCTGAGATAATCCAGTCTTCAGACGATTAGAATAAATGTGTGCTAACAATTTATAATCATTATTTAACAATGTAATGGGCCGCAAGTTATCTAAAATCTTAGGATCTTTGCCTGGCTTGGGAATGAGAATTATAACCCCTTGCTTCATAGTATGGGAAAGTGAAAGACATTCAGTAACCTCTGTCAAAGCCTTAAATAAAATAAAACATTTTGAATCCTTCAAAAATTTGTAAAAGTTGGCCGTTAAACCATCAGAGCCAGGAGATTTGTCAGAGGATAAAGATTGCAAATCCTGTAACGAAATTTTTGCATCACAAATCGCTTTAAACTCCAAACTGATTTGTGGAATAAATGGCTTAATATTATAAAAAAAAAGCATCTGCATTAATTTTAGAAAATGTTGACTTATATAAATTACTATAAAAGAGAAAGATTTTTTGTGCAATATCATTAGTGTTGGAAGATTCACTGCCAACAATAATTAAAGATCGTATATTATTTTTCTCCTGCCTGCTCTTTTCCAATCTGCAGAAGTACGATGAATTTCTCTCCCCTTCTTCTATCCACTTGGCCCTTGAACGGATGTAAGCACCTTTCGCCTTTTCAACATAGATAGTATCAAGTTTGGATTGTGAGAATAAAAGCTTTGCTCTATCTGAATCATCAGACTAACTATTACTGCAACATTCACTTATCTCTCTAATAAGATTAACTTCTTCTAAATGGGTCGATTTCTTTTAGCTGTTTACCAAAGGAAATAGAATAATTACGAACTTTCAAATATTCCCATTTACTAATATTCTAGGAAAGTGAAGAATCTTCACTCACTTCTGCAATAATATTTTTAACTCCTTGGCAAAAGGCCTCCGAATTAAGAAGATCGGCGTTAAATTTCCAATGTCCCTTATTACGACGCCGTGCAGTTAGAGACTTTAAATTTAAACCAAGCATACAATGATCGGAAATTGGTGCGGGGGATATAAAGCAATCTAAAATATTTTCCTTAATGTGGAATGAGATAAGCCAGAAGTCCAATCTTGATTTGCTTGTCCCGTCTGGTTTTAACCAAGAGTACTGACATAAATTGGGATATAAATCTCTCCAGGGGTCAAACAGACCAAATGAACTACAAAAATTACATAAAATAGGATTGTAGTGATGACTATTAAATTTAGATGGAAAGCGGTCCAGCCAATCATCCTGCACCATGTTAAAATCCCCTCCTAATATAATATTGTCTGTGGAATATGCAAGTTTCAGGCCCATTGTAACTTTTCGGTTTCGGCATGTTTTTTAAAGAGTCACAAAAAAATGACTAAACAGTATGCAGTTATGCACCTTAGTTACACTTTCTCGCGGTTGAATCAACTAATTAAACTAAACAAGAAGGACAAGCAACACAAAAATTTGGGACTGATGATCAGAGTCACAACAAAGTACGTGTGCTCAGTTCGCCATCTTGCCGGTGTAGTGCCGAAATTTGCACCCTGCCAGATTATGCACCCCCTAGTATTGGTAGGTTTAGGAGTAGGTGTGGAGGAGGGGTTAGGATATGGGGTGGGGTTGGGATTAAGCAATCAGGTAGCGACTTCAACGAGGGGGTGCATAATCTGGCAGGGGTGCAGAATTCGGCACAACACTGGAACCCCCCGGGAGCAGAAAATGTCCGGCTTGACGGCTCCGTTTTAAACCCTGCCCCCCGACTGCAAGCGGCTACTCTCGTCTGTAGCCGTGCTTCAAATCGAACGCACCTAACGTAACGTTGTCACGTGGCACGTGTTGCTTTTCTTCATGCTGTCAGGATAGACCAATCACAGTCGTTTGTAATTAATGATTTATTTAATAATTCTTTATTGAGATTATTATATTTTTTTTCGGATATTTTCTCAGATACCAACCTCTGCTTTCATTGGATTTAAATGATTATACATTTTAGTATACTTATCTTCAGGAAGACAAAACTGCCGTGAGATTTGACTGCGGCTCAGCAGAGTGGCTTGTATGAGCCAAAGATTAGGCTTGTTCGAGAAGCGTCCGCGCTGCGCAGACCGATCGGCGTATGACATCAAAGTATCGCGAGAGCGACTGGAGAGCAGACGACTCTTTAAGGGGGTCATATGATGCTGCTAAAAAGAACATTATGTTGTGTATTTGGTGTAATGAAATGTGTTTATGGGGTTTAAGGTTCAAAAAACACATTATTTTCCACATGCTGTACATTATTGTTTCTACTCTATGCCCCGCCTTTCTGAAACCGGTCCGGTCTCCTCGGTGTATGGAGTGAGTTTGTAGCTGAACAGAAGATTCCGGGACTTTCTCTGAGAGCCAGGTCTCGGTGAAAATCAGAGCGCAGCATTCTCTTATTTCCCGCTGTGATGTAACCCTTGCTCTCAGCTCGTCCAGTTTGTTTTCCAGAGATCGCACGTTAGCTAACAACAGGCTGGGTAGCGGTGGTCGGCTAGCGCGAGCTTTTAGCTTAGCATGAAGCCCTCCCCTCTTGCCTCGCTTGCGTCGCCGTCTCCGGAGCGCTCTCCTCGGGTCAGCTACCTCGCTCGAGCTCGGTGCTTCGGGGCCTTCCTGGGGGTGGTGGCGGTGACCGTGGGAGCGACGTGTGTGTTGTAGCTCCGGAGGTATAAAACCGGTAAATTCAAGATGGTTGGCTGAATTGGCGATGTCCAGTAATGCCTGTCTGTTGTACGTTAGCAGTGCACCGCATTTGAGCACGGCAGATAAAACAGAAA